ATCCCCGGCCTGCGCGTTCTGCCCTCTGCCCTCTGCCCTGGCCCTGGCCTGAGACTCGGTCGCCCCGCGCAGGAAGCCTTCCTGAGCCTGTGGCGGGTCTCCCGCGGCCCAGTTCCCTTCCTCCCCGGTGTCCTGAAGCTCCATCAGGTCTTGGCCTCTATTCTTTCTAAACCCACTGGGAGCTTGGGGCGGGCTGGGGTGGGGGGGCAGGGTTGGGGGAAGGGACTGGATGTGTTGGGTCTTCTGACCTAACTTCTCCGTTTAAAGATCACCTTTCCTTTGGAGCTTCTTCTGAACCCCCCCGCTCCCCTTTGGGCTCCTTTCTGCCCTGTCCCACAGGCCCAGACTAGGTGACAACGAACATTTGAGTGAAGGAGAGTCTTTGTTTGGGATGGTGGATGCAATGGGAAGACAATCTTGGCGGGATGGCTTGTCCTCACCTGACCTAATCGGTGTTACTGAAGTATGGTAGCAATCATCTCAGGAAGAAACTATAGTTTAATTTTAACCCTGCTGTTTGGCTTCTGTACTTATTTGCTTTGTTTAACAATAGAAAAGTTACTTGGATTTTCTGAATTGTATAAATCATCCCATTCGGTTGAATGCCTTATTGATTGTCATGTGACTATCCCATTGATTGTGATCTTACTGGTTTTAGAAAGCACATTCCTCTGTACCTGGGAACCAGGACAGCACAATTGTCCAAGACCTGAGGGTTCCAGATAATGTTTCCCTGTCAACTCAGTGGTCCCAAGACCCGAGGGCTCTAGATAATGTGTTTCTGTCAACTCAGTGACCCCGAGACCTAAAACTATAATTAATCTTTGTAGATAACTAATCGGCTTAATTCTGGTTCTGTAAACTGCTTTTTTTCGAACCAGGTTCCTCATTCCAAACCCTGGGATGTAATCAATACCTTTGTGATTTTTGCCTATATAAATTTGGTGTTTCAGCCATCTTATGACTGCGAGACTTGGGAGAGCAAAATGCCCCCTCGTAGTCCCGGATTTGCAATAAATGTGACTCTTTAATTCGACTTACTGAGGCGTCCTTCTGTGATTTGTGGGGTACATTATAACATTACAATGGCCATCACTAACAAATACAGCAGGGGCTGCTGCTCCAGGTGTGGGAGACAGACAGACATGAGCAGAGCAAGGAGGACGGGCCAGGTACAGAAGGTCACCAGGGTGGGGCATGGGTACCTGGTAAAGGGAGCATTCTAAGAACAAGAGTCTCGCCCCAGCGTGACTTTTCCTCCCCTGGCATGTCGCTAGTCATGCTGATTTGCCCCTTTAGAGAGGAACAAGGGGGCTGAGAACAGCCTTTAAGCACGAAGCTCCAGGGACAGTGAGGTTCTGACCCTCATCCAATACATTTAGGCCTCAGTTGTGTTTCAGCTCCGGGCTCAGAAAAGCAGCAAAACCAGACAAGTAACTTCACAGCTGGCCACGGGGCCAGCTGCATTGACTAAGACCTGGTGCCGGCCAATCAGGGCACACCTGGCAAGCTGATGAATATTCTGTTGGGTCATCCCCTGGGATCTCTCCTAAAATCACCCTTAAAAGCCCTTTGGACAGCAGACCCAGCATGGTCTCTCCGCTCAGGAGCAGGCTGGTGTCTTTCCCCTCCCCCTCTCCTTCCCACGGGTGCATTTCCTTTACCCTCTTCTCCTAAGCTCCAAGGGCCCTTTTTCTTTTTCTTTTTTTGCCTCTGTAACTTGTTTCCTGAGCCCATTTCTTCTAGAAATTACTTTTTCTACCTTTGTGATTTGCCAAATAAACGTTCTCTCATAGTTTGAGTCTTGGCTCTGAATGCTTTCCTAGCCAGAACTCAAGTACTGAGGTTGCTGAACCCAGGTCCGATCTGACCCCACGGGTCTAACAGCGGGTGCCATTCTCGCAGCCGTCAACATAAACTCTAATCTACTCACTCATTTCCCCTCAGACGTTCTTCCTTGTTTGGCTCTACCACTTCACTAGGGAAGAAGATTCTATATTATCCTCTTTTCTTTGACACTTCAGCCACCTCAAGAAAACTACAGATCAGCTGCCCTGCTTTATGACTTACCGTGCTGTTACACACAGATGTTGGGTTATGTCTATAAATAGAACATTAAAGGCGTCACTTGTTTTACAAGAGATCAGCAGCCTGCTGAGCTGTTAGGCCAGAGCTTTCCAATGCCCTCACTTCACTCTGAAAGGAGTTTAGGGACAAAATAGGCAGGTTTAGAGAGTTTTAGGAATAAAGAGTTTTCTTCCACTACTATTTGCAGAGTCACTCTGAAAAGAGTTTTAGGAATAAAATAGGCAGGTTTCGGGAGTTTTAGGAATAAAGAGGGTCCATGGGGGAGGAATGCATAAGTGAGGGCTTGGAGCTGCCAGAAGGCATACATTCACAGAGATTAGAAAAGGTGCCACAGGAAAAGGGGCAAGGAAGACATACATTCACAGAGGATAAAGAAAAGTCACAGAGTATGGGGTAAAAGGAAACATACTTTCACAGAAGATAGAGAAATCCACAGATGCTGGGAAGTAGGAAACATGTTCACAGGAGATAGAGGAATGTTACAAGATAAGGGAGAGAGAAAGAGTGGGGCACCAGCGTGTTTTGGACTTTGAAGCTGATATTTTGCAAAAGACTGACCCATTAGAAAAGCACAGGGTCATAAGCCAATGTATAGTCCATATAAGGTACCTGGTTAGTCACTCAGGTATTTCCGGGCTGCAGGTTACGTCATACTCCGCCCACCAGTTGGGGGAAGGGAGGATCTATCAGAAACAAACTTTCACAGAGGGTAGAGAAATGTCTGCCGATAAATGGGAGAAAGAGGAAAACAGATTTTCACAGGCGATAGAGAAATGTTACAAGATAAGGGGGAGAGAAAAAGGGGGGCACCAGGTGGGGTTTGGGCTTTGAAGGTGATATTCTGCCAAAGGAGTGACCAATTAGAAGGGAGTATCAAGAGACAAAGAACTACAACCTTTATAAACCTTTACAAAAAAAGAGTTTAGTGGGCTACCCCTGGGACCCCCTCCTTATGTGGGAGTCTGTATTTGTTCCCAATACATTTCCACTCTTTTTATCTATCACCTTTTGTCCATGGCTTCATGCTTCTAATCCATCTGGACAAGGAACCAAGAAAGAAATCACCCTTGCATCCTGCTCAGGAAAACAACCCTAATCAACTCACATGACTGAGCCATCACAATACTTGTAAGTATATAATAAGCGAGGTGACTACAATGGCCTGAGTTGACCACCTTGATGAGATCATCACTGGCTTCTCCTGGCCTGCCAGGCCTTCTGAGGGCTGATGGGAAGTAGTTCTGCTTCCCTTCCTGCCCCCACCAAACACCTTTGCCCATTTGCTGCACCAGGTTGGGGAGTTCTGTTGAGGTTCAGGCAGGGCCCCATTTTAACACCCGCTTATCTAAGCATTTAGGTGGCTCCAATCCTAGCCCTCCTCCACATATAAGCCTAGTTCAAAGTCAAGTCTAAAGACCCACCCAAGATGAGAGGGAACAAATCCTTGCCATGAAAGCTGAAATGTGATGTTGGATTTGTAGGGCACCTGCAGGATTTCCTGCGGACTAGCACTTGAGGACGGCTTAAAACTAATTAAAAGAAACAGTTCTTCAACGCAATATTGTACAAATAATGGGACCATACACTAGGTCCATGGTCGGCAAACTGCGGCTCTCGAGCCACATGTGGCTCTTTGGCCCCTTGAGTGTGGCTCTTCCACAAAACACCACAAAATACCACGTGCGGGCGCGCACGTACAGTGCGATTGAAATTTCATGGCCCATGCGCAGAAGTCGGTATTTTGTGGAAGAGCCACACTCAAGGGACCAAAGAGCCGCATGTGGTTCGCAAGCCGCAGTTTGCCGAGCCGCAGTTTGCCAACCACTGCACTAGGTGGTCACAGTCAGTGGAACTTCCAGTCCTGCTCAGGACTTTCCAGAACTACAAAAGTAAACTTCAGGCTGACCTTGATTGGTGGCACGATTACCTATTTTGGGTCTACAGCTCTAACGGTGAGAAAGCAGTTTCTCTTATTGGCCCTAACTTAGCATCTTACAAGCTGCGGTCTGCTCTGGTCTGGTTCTGCCTCTGTTCCTCTTGGTGATGACCCCAGCACCCCAGGATAAAGATGGTTGTAGAATATTGTTGCCTAATCCCTCCCTGTGCTGGTTACTTCTCTCTGGTCCGTGGCTGTTAAACCTCGAGGATCCATTGAAACTAAGGTCCCTAGCAGGTTTGGCTCAGTGGATAGAACATTGGCTCATGGTCTGAAAGGTCCCGGGTTCAATTCTAGTCAAGGGCACAAGGGCATGTACCTTGGTTATAGGCTCGATCCCCTGCCCCAGTCAGGGCATTTCTGTCTCTCCCTCTCCCTTCCACTCTCTGTAAAATTCAATGAAAAAATATCCTCAGAAGAGGATTAACAAACAAACCAAGATAAACCATTGAAACCAAGGGTCCTTCTGACTTTGACACTTTACAACTCTACTGTGTTACTATGCTTTGAAGAAATACTATTTTCTGCTAATTTTGCAACTGGTTTCTATCTACCTTTTATTCCAGGCTACGAATGGCAGGGCAGATTTTTACAGTCCAAGCTAATTTTTACTTTCTCACTTATAATGTGATGGTTTTGAATTATTCTTTTAGACATTAAAAAACAACAACAGTCTGCCAAAGAGGTCCACAGAGAAAAGTTAAGAGGCCTTGCTCTGAGCACACTAATTTTCTGCACTAATTTTAGTGTAAGAGGTTAACAATATCTTTTTTTAAAAAATATATTTTTATTGATTTCAGAGAGGAAAGGAGAGGGAGAGAGAGATTGAAACATCAATGATGAGAGAGAATCATTAATTGGCTGCCTCCTGCATGCCCCTTACTGGGGATCGATCCCGCAACATGGGCTTGTGCCCTGACCAGGAATCGAACCATGGCCTTCTGGTTCATAGGTCAGTGCTCAACTACTGAGCACACTGGCCAGGCAACAATATCTTGATGTTAACAAAATATTAACCACTTCCTGCCCCCTGACCCAAAACCTATGAGACAGGTATAGTTACCTGTTTTATAGGTGCTTAACTGGTTTAAACAAATACATCAACTATATATAGGGCCTATTTTCAGATTTTTATTCACAGTTTCACTTACCTACAGCAGAATTTATTTTAGATCAAAGATAACAAAGAATAACTTAAGTGTGAATTTAATAAAATTTAAAATTATAATATTCCTTTCAAGGAATTAGAGGGGCTATCTATTTAATATGCGATACTTTTAAAACAAACAACCAACTCTGGAACTATAGTTAACATCTCACCCTAATCCTAAATCAAGTAATTTTGGATTTACACTCTTTTGATACCACTGTAATAATCTGGTCACTATTTAACAGGAAAGGAGTAAAGGGGAGACTAGATAATATAGACATGCCATTTACACAGCTCTGCTAATTTAGCACTCTCTAAGGCTGTTCCCTGCTGATTGATGAATGATTGATGGAAGAAGGGACTGAACAAAGGCAGTTTGGACACATGCCCTGTAAGGTCTGAATGATGTGGGAAGGTTCCTATTGTCTGTCAGTCACACCTGGGAGTGAGTCAGTGGCCAGAATAGGTGTGGCCACTGCAAGGGCTCGAAACCTAAATATTTAAACTTATGAACAAAGGGAGTTCCTATCTTTTTGCCTCTCTTGGCCTTTGGCCCACAGGCCCTCTTGGGACTCTTGTTGTAGGGGGCTCACTTCCCTGTGCCCATATGGCCCACAACCTTGAGGGCCCCACACATAATGGCCTAATGGACTGTAACTAGCCTGAATGCTAAACTGGACCCAACTGCAACATGGAATGGAAGCTCTGGACACTGGCATTGCTTTTGGCTCTGCTGGAACCCCAGCTACACCTCTTTCAGGACCAGATTAAGGGTCCTGAGACTTTACAACCCGAGGAATGCAACTCCACACCAATAAAGTCGTCTACCAAACCTCACTCTCACATGGGGGCTTCTGAAAATGCTCATTTCAGCTGTACCCCAAGAACCCCATTCCTACTCTTATCTGGAAAATGTGGCCCATTAATTCCTCTGGTAACACTTTTACTTGTTACATTAAATCTCTTAAACCAGTCTTTACAATTCTGTATGTATTCATTGAATATACAGGGGTGAGCAAAAGTAGGTTTATGGTTGCATTGTGACATTCTTTTGAGTTAATAAAGCTATTGTAATAATCATAACCTGCATGTTTTTTTCTATACAAACAACTGTAAACTTACTTTTACTCAATCCTGTATTTTTTACAGTTTATTCTCAAGAAAACCATCTTTAGAATGAAAACTTATCTTTTCTCCATGTATATCAAACAAAAAGAAGCAGTGTCTACCACTCAGTAGAGGAAATACATTAGTATTGAGGTTTCGACACAACTGGCACTTACTATATTTAATCCTCCCAAAAACCCTATGACAAAGGTGTTATTACTTCCTACTTTCATACTGAAGAAATGTAGGCAGAGATATTGAGTAATGTTCCCAATATCACACAAGGTATAGGTGTCCAGCAGTGAGACCCAGAACCTGCTCCTAACCCTTTGTCCTGCTTCTCAGGTTCACTATTATACTCTTGTTGTAGGGGGCTCACTCCCCTGTGCCCATATGGCCCACAGCCTTGAGGGCCCCCTAATGGACTGTAACTAGCCTGAATGCTAAACTGGACCCAGCTGCATCATGGAATGGAAGCTCTGGACACTGGCATTGCTTTTGGCTCTGCTGGAACTCCCTGTGCCCATATGGCCCACAACCTTGAGGGCCCCACACATAATGGCCTAATGGACTGTAACTAGCCTGAATGCTAAACTGGACCCAGCTGCATCATGGAATGGAAGCTCTGGACACTGGCATTGCTTTTGGCTCTGCTGGAACCCCAGCTACACCTCTTTCAGGACCAGATTAAGGGTCCTGAGACTTTACAACCCGAGGAATGCAACTCCACGCCAATAAAGTTGTCTACCACACCTCACTCTTACATGGGGGCTTCTGAAAATGCTCATTTCAGCTGTACCCCAAGAACCCCATTCCTACTCTTATCTGGAAAATGTGGCCCATTAATTCCTCTGGTAACACTTTTACTTGTTACATTAAATCTCTTAAACCAGTCTTTACAATTCTGTATGTATTCATTGAATATACAGGGGTGAGCAAAAGTAGGTTTATGGTTGCATTGTGACATTCTTTTGAGTTAATAAAGCTATTGTAATAATCATAACCTGCATGTTTTTTTCTATACAAACAACTGTAAACTTACTTTTACTCAATCCTGTATTTTTTACAGTTTATTCTCAAGAAAACCATCTTTAGAATGAAAACTTATCTTTTCTCCATGTATATCAAACAAAAAGAAGCAGTGTCTACCACTCAGTAGAGGAAATACATTAGTATTGAGGTTTTGACACAACTGGCACTTACTATATTTAATCCTCCCAAAAACCCTATGACAAAGGTGTTATTACTTCCTACTTTCATACTGAAGAAATGTAGGCAGAGATATTGAGTAATGTTCCCAATATCACACAAGGTATAGGTGTCCAGCAGTGAGACCCAGAACCTGCTCCTAACCCTTTGTCCTGCTTCTCAGGTTCACTATTATATTCCTCCTCCTCTTACCCTTCTACCCATCCTCTTCCTTTGCCCCATCCCTCCCCTTCCGTTCCCTTCCCTTCCCCCTCTCCCTCTCCCACCCTATCCTCTTCAAAGAAGTGAGTGGATACATATGTGTATTCCCAGCAGCGGATCTTTCCCCTTCCTGATGCTTATACCCAGTTTATTTCCTCTTTCTACATGTGGGCATCACTGACAGCCATGTAAGTAGCCTTCTAGGTTAAGAATTAGAATTCACTTCATGAGTTTGCAATTTTCCATCCATGGCTTATTGGGATTTTAACTCAGGGCCGTGAGGTTGTCAGTGTTAGCTCCCATTTGCTTTAGATCCAGAGGTTGCCAACCCTGACAAGTGATGGAATCACCTGTGGAGATTTTACCACACCCCAATGCCCACTCTCACGCTTCACTCACATGTAACTGGTTTGTTTGGGCCTCAAACAACTCTGGTGATTCTAATATGTAGCCAGTGTTGAGAATCAATGCTTCAGAATGGTTTCAGGGGCAGATTTCATTAATCCTTTAATTTAAAAAATATATATATTTTTTATTGATTTCAGAGAGGAAGGAGAGGAGTGATAGAAACATCAATGATGAGAGAGAATGATCCACTGCCTCCTGCATGCCCCCACGCGCATGGGACTGGGAATTAAATTGTGACCTCCTGGGTCATAGTTCAGTACTCAACCACTGAACCATGCCAGACAGGCTCTCTCATGTTTTTGAGACCCATATGCTCTGATCTATGATTTGACCTCCAGGCCGACTGGCTGTGTTCTAATCCTTTAATTTAAAAAATATATATATTTTTTATTGATTTCAGAGAGGAAGGAGAGGAGTGATAGAAACATCAATGATGAGAGAGAATGATCCACTGCCTCCTGCATGCCCCCACGCGCATGGGACTGGGAATTAAATTGTGACCTCCTGGTTCATAGCTCAGTACTCAACCACTGAACCATGCCAGACAGGCTCTCTCATGTTTTTGAGACCCATATGCTCTGATCTATAAAATCAGATCTTCTCTTCCAGCTCCTTAAAAAGCGTATGTTGTGGTTTCTCTCTTCCTTCCTTCCTTTCTTTCTTTCTTTCTTTCTTTCTTTCTTTCTTTCTTTCTTTCTTTCATCTTTCTTTCTTTTTCTTTTTTCTTTTGATTGGCATTTTATTTTATTTTATTTTATTTTATTGAAAGTATTACAGATGTTCCCCTTTTCCCCCAATGTCTCCTTCTAGCTGTTCTGGTTTCTTTCTGGAAGCTAATTTATAGTCAGTCTCTCTCTCTCTTTCTCTCTCTCTCTCTCTCTCTCTCTCTCTCTCCCTGCAATTTCTTTCTTGAGATTGAGCTGTAGTACTTGTTGTTGGTGTTGACCTAAAGGCATATACTAGTAGAATTACTTGGTGGTTTTCTGACTTTCCCTTCTGATTTAGACTCTGAGATTGATTTGCTTGATTTTTTTCACAAAGACAATGACATCATTTGTTTTTATTTCTATTTTTGAAGGTGAAGATATGTGCTCCAAATGCCGAGCAGCTGCACAGGGTTAATCACTTGAAAAGTAGCCCAACAGCAGAGAAGAGAAATGTGCTGGAGGGAAGTGCCAGGAGAGCCTGGGACTCACCTAGTTTGGTAGGCCTGAGCTCCAGCGAGCTTGATGCTGTCATTATACCTGGTGACTTAGCTGAAAGCGGTGAGGCCAACTGTTCATTTTAATTAATGCTCACTGACTTCAGAATCCTCTTCCCCAAAGGGTAGTGCAGGCTCAGCTACCATCTTGAACTCTCTGTGTCAGGCTCTAGGTCTGTGGCTCTCAAACTTTCCTGCACATGAGAATCATTCAGGGAGTTTAAAAAATTTCTTGTGCTTGGGTCACACTTGAAATCAGTAACATCAGATTCTTTGGGGCTAGAAACAGAGGAAGGGAGAGGGAGAGAGAGAAACATCAATGATGAGAATCATTGATTGGCTGCCTCCTGCACGCCCCCCACTGGGGGTGGAGCCCACAACCCAGGCATGTGCCCTTGATCAGAATCAAACCCGGGACTCTTCAGTCCACAGGCCGATGCTCTATCCATTAAGCCAAACTGGTTAAGGTGAATTTTATTTGCCACATCAAAAAAACACAGCGAAATAAGGAAGGGCATAGAAGAAGCAACAGGAGAGTCCAGGCTGGGCTGCTTTGGCTCATTGGGAAGTCAGAGAAATGGGGGCCTCGAGACAGGTTCAGGGGGTTAGTCCAGGACAAGTTGTCACTGCCCATGGCTCCCCTGGTTCCAAGTCTCCTGAGATCCCTTAAGGGGAAGAAGTGAGGAAGGAAATGGCTTGGCATGCTTCCCTGGGGGAGAATGTGTGCTGGGTCCTTTGTGTTGAGGGTATTGTGTTGAGTCTCTTGAAGGTGGGACTCTTAGGGGAGGTTTCAGGGGAGAGTCCTGTAGATTATTCATCGGCTTTCCAGGTGTGCTCTTTCAGGATCATGGTCTCCACTGATTGGTCATCGAGAGGGCAGGGGGTCATTAGTTAATGCATCTGGTCTTGAGGTAACAAAGGCATCTGGTTTTGCTGCTTTTCTTGTCCTGGAGCTGAAATACATCTGAGACCTTTTCAGTTCAAGGATCACTGATAGATAGGTGACCCTATCTTTTAAAATAAAAGATTGATTTACTAGTATAATTTAATTTTTAAAATTTAATTCCCTTCATAAAAAGCTATCGCATCTAATAAAGAGGGAATATGCTAATTGACCATCATGCCCTCACAAGATGGCGGCACCCATAACCACAAGATGGCGGCGCTCAGTCCCATCAGCTCCGCTGGGGCGGCAGTTGTGCTGCACGCTGGGCCTGCTCCCTGGCGGGTCCGGCCGCTCCGTGTACCTGCCTCCAGAGTCGCCCACCTGATGCCCGAGGCACAGGTGAGCCTTGGATGGCGGCTGCCCAGCTGCCCAAGGCCACCCGAGGAGGCTCAGGTAACCAGGGCTGCCCGAGGCTCAGGTAACCAGGGCTGCCCGAGGCTCAGGTAACTGGTAGAGGTAGCAGCAGAGGTATGATGGGAGCGTCACCTTCCCCTGATCTCTGGGTGCCTCCCGCCCTGAGGGCTCCCGGACTGTGAGAGGGGGAAAGCTGGGCTGAGGGACCCTCCCCTCCAGTGCATGAATTTTCATGCACCAGGCCTCTACTATGTTATATATTTATATTTTACAAACTAAATAATAAAATCAATTGTATTTTAAGATTAGAGGCCCGGTGCATGAATTTGTGCATGGGTGGGGTCCGGCCGACCCTCCCCAATGAGGGCCAATCGGGGCAGGGCTGGCAGGGGGAAGGGGACATGGGAAGTTGGCTGGCAGACCCTGCCCCCGATAGAGATGGGGGAGCTGATCGTGGGGCCAGGCTGGCCGGGCCGTGGGAGGTTGAAGGGGGCTGATTAGGGCCCTGATCAGGCTGGTTGGCCGCTGCAGTGCACATCATAGTGACTGGTCGTTCCATTGTTCCAGTCGCTTGGTGTTTATATATATGTAGATTATTCTAAACGTGCACAATATTCTTAAAATTTTTGGAGGCAATTTGGAGATGTCCCAGCGAGAACTGAGAATCATTGCTTTAGATCAGGAGTGTGTTGCTTGTGGATACTTACACATATTTATCTAAATAGGTTGCTTCTTGTTATTTTACATATAAAGTAGTTCAGATATCATTGCTATGTAACAAATATCACCAAAATTTAGTGGCTTAAACAACAACTTAGTATCTTCCTGGTTCTGTTGGCTGACTGGGCATAGCTGGGCTTTGCTTGAGGTCTCTCATGCAGTTGCAATCAGGAAGCAGTGGGGGCTGCAGACATCTGAAGGCTTTACTGGGCTGGAAGATACCACAGTGGGTGTGGGCTTGGGCTGGGATTGGCTGGAACAACTGAGGGCTGGCTGGGTGGCCATTCCACCTGGTGAGCTTGGGCATCCTCATAACGGTAGCCCTTGGGAAACATTTTCTCCCACTCAGATCTTCTTTTCTGATAGGTTTGCTGATGCAGACCAAGCAACTGCTGTAAAAGAGCCGAGATGCAAACACAGCTGCGGGGACGTGAGTGAATCTGCCAGGATGCCACCAACAAGCGGTGCAGACATGCGCTTTCCTGGCACGGCCCCTCTGCATGAAATTTGTGATGAAATGAGGGAAAGGGTGGGGATGTTTCGTAATGTATTTGAAAAATGATGCTTTAGTTATAATATTTAGAAGAAATTATGCACGTGAAAATATTTTTGCTCTGACCAAATGAATTACATACACACTCTATCATGTGGTGATAGATACTTTCAGTGTGATCTTGACCCAAAGATGAAATAACCATTATTGAATTTTTTAGATACATAGTGTTCCTATACAAACACATTGTCATTTTTATCTACTTATCTCAAAGGCTTTTTCCTGAACCTCCAGGTTGGTTCCAATATTGAAAGGAATTTTTAGGGGTAAAATAGGCAGGTTTAGGAAATCTTAGGAATTAAGGGATCCATGGAAAAGGCACAGGGCTACAGAGCAGCAGAAGATACATTTCCATTAGATAAGGGAGCTGGGAGCTGCAGAAGGTACATTTCCATAGAATAAGGGAGCCGGGAGCTGCAGAAGGTAAACATTTACAGAATAAAGGGAAGGAAGCCCCTCATTCAGAGAGGGAAGAGGAGAGCCCAAAGGGACTAGGAAAACAATAAGGGAGAAGAAGAGGAGAACTTCACACACCTCACCTGAGGTTTGAGCTCTGAAGTTGCTATAGTGACCAAATTAGAGGGGATAGTGACCAGTCAGAGGGGATGCCAGGGCACAAAGAACTGCAGCCTTTATAAACCGTGGAAAAAAGGGACTTAGTGGGACTCTCTCCCCTTCCCCACGTGGGAGTCTGTGCTTGTTTCTCAATAAATTTCCATCTTTTGCTATACCACCTTCTATCCGTGGTGTCATTCTTCGACTTCACGGGACAAGAACCCGAAAGAACACCACACGTTCCAGTTTAATTTTCCCATTTCAATATGAGCAACAACTATAACTGTGGTGGATTGACTTGTGTTTAATAATAATGACAACAAAAAGCAAGGAGAATTTTTTAAGTGACAGGATGATATCTGAACGTTGGTTTCTGCATTTACAACTGAACAAGATGACTAGACTAGTTTTCATTGTTTCTGCGAAGGTATTTGTTCTGCTCTGTGCTTCAGATAAGGCCATGATCTATTTTTTACATTACTGTGTATCATACGTTCTTCTGATGTGCTATGTAGCCCTCTAGAGTTTAGTGGGAGCCAGTGCAGCTGCTCCTGAAACCCCCTGCCTTGGAGGTGTTTTGAATGATCACTTTCTGTGAACGATCCCTATGCTATTTTTCTTTTTAATCCTCACCAGAGTGAGGGTGGAGGGGTTCAATGGAGGGAGAGGGGGGGGCACGGGGACATCTGTAATACTTTCAACAATGAAGATACATTTCAAAAAAGAAACAATTGGCAAAAATGTGCAAGAATTAGTCGTGAAGGAAATGCAAATTAAAATCACCATGAGATACTATTGCACACTTACCAGACTGTTTACAATGTAAAAAAGTGACAATTCTAAGGGTTGATGAAGATATGGAGAAACTAGGACCCTTAGACATTGCTGGTGGAAATGTAACATGATAGAGCTAGTTTGGAAAACAGTTTTTTATAAAGTTGAACATATACTTACCAGATGGCCCAGCATTCCCACTCTTAGGTATCTACCCAAGAGACATAGAAAGATATGCCTACAGAAGGACGTGCGTGAGATTGTTCATGGAGGCTTTATTCGTAATAGCCCCAAACTGAAAACAATGCTACCCATTAACTAATGACGGGTAAACAAAGTGTGGTACCTCTGTTACAGGCAGCCAGAGACCCCCGAAAAGGTATCATCAGACAACCCCCTCAGTTGAAGGGAGAGGGCGGTCTCCTTCTCAATTCTTATCTTCTAGTATAAACGAATTTAAAGGAGAGACCCTGATTGTATTATGACAAAGCCAATTTATTAAAGCAAGCAAATTTATTAAAGAAGCAAGGCAAGCAAGTCTGTTTCAGTTCATTGGGCTCAGAGGGCAGACAGGCTTTTCCAGCTAACTCCCAGAAAGCAACTGCCATGTGCGGGTTTGAGGAGTTCTATACTCCCCTGTCTATGGGTTTCAAAAATTCCTCTGTTGAATATCTTGGTATAGATTAATTTTCAAGGTCCCTTTTTACTTCTCAGAATTCATGAGAAGCACCTGGCAATTTTATCTTGCCAAGCCTTGAGACTGCTGGCTTCTCTGTCAGTGAGTTAAACAAAAAAAAAAATAATAAAACTTCCTTCTTTTCCTTTCCCCTTCCTCCCTCTTTTTCTGCATTCTCTCATTAGAGAGATTTTTAACCATTTGCTCTCAAGTGTCCTTGGCTGGGAAGATAAAGGCTTGTTATTTACAAGCCAGCTGTAAATTGCCCACACTGTTGGCCTTGTTTTAACTTCTTTATCTCAGTTTCCCTATTCATCTTGCCCTGGAATTTTCCTAGCTTTTCACTGCCCTGCAACATATCCATTCGATGGAGTGTTACTCAGCAATGCAAGGGAATAAAGTGCTCTGATACATATGTAGAACAATCTTAAAACTTTATGCTAAGTGAAAGAGTCAGACATATAAGACTACATATTGTATGATTCCACTTACTAGAGAAAATATTTGGAAAAGATAAAACTATTGAGATAGAAAGCAGATTATTGCTTGCTGAGAGCTAGAGATTGATTGCAAGCAGTCATGAGGAATTTCTTAGAATGATGGAAGTATTCCAAAAACTGAATTGTGGTGATGTTTGCACAAATCTATAAATTTACTAGAACTCATTGAACTGTACACCTAAAATGGATGAATTAATAGTATGTAAAGTTGATGTTAATAAAGCCAAGAAACATTTTTAACAATGTGTTCATGGTCTATCTTTTTAATTGAGCATTTAGTCCATTTACTGTTTTTGTAATTATAGATATACTAGAGGCCCGGTGCACAAAATTTGTGCATGGGGAGGGGTGTTGTCCCTCAACCTGGCCTGCACCCTCTCCAATCTGGGACCCCTCGGGAGATGTCTGACTGCCGGTTTAGGGCAGGCTGGGCTGAGGGACCCTCCCCAAGTGCATGAATTTTGTGCACCAGGCCTCTAGTTTACTATAAAAGTCCCCGCTAATGTTACAATTTTAAACCCATAAGACATTTGATTATTTTATACAGTCAATATTTATTTAATTATAGACATATACATTTTTTGTTGTCATTCACATATATATGTATATATAGTACAGAGAGGAAGGGAGAGGGAGAGAGATAGAAACATCAATGATAAGAGAAAATCAATAATTGGCTGCCTCCTGTACAACCACACTGGGGATTGAGCCCGCACCCTGGGCACATGCCCTGACCGGGAATTGAACTGTGAGCTCCTGATTCATAGGTTGACGCTCTTGTTGTCATTCTTTATTATATCTCAGACTCTTCATTCATTATTCATTTCTCAAAAACCTTTCTTTTTAGTAATGAAAGGTGACATAATGCAGTGGTTAAGAGCGTGGCTTCTGAAGCAAAGCCGCTTTGTTTTTTAAACTGCTTTTTATTTCTGCTTTACAAAATAGAGAAACTATGGCAGAAGGATACCTAGTAACATCTAGTAAGTTTCAGAGGCAGGATTTTAACCCACTAAGCTCTTATATTTAAACCCAACAGCATCCCCACCACCGTGGAAAGCTTCTATAACCCCTGATCTAAGAAATCTGTCGGTGGCACAGCAGACCAGAGCCCTTCTCCACTGTCAGCAAAAAAATGTACAGGTTCAAAGTCTTCTCACACCTGAGGTTCATGAAGTTCATAAAATTCCTCTGAAAATATTAATTTTATAAGGAAGTCACAGGTGACTTGAAATTCAGCTTTATGAATGCTTATAGGTCATTGGAACAGTCTTGCGAATGAACAGGACAAGACCCCTTCCATAGATATCCAGTTCTGTCTGGACTCCCTCCTCCATGCTGCATTTAGTTCTGGGCAAACTCAAGAGCAGACCTTTGCTCTGGGAAGCCAATCATTGAATTTCTCCAAATATAAAGTCATTTAGATATTGTACTATGGAATTATTAAATGCTAGATAGATTGTGAAATCATCTCTGATGGAGAGGGTCCTTTCAGAAGTGAGGTTAACACAGAACAGTCCTCTAGACCTTCCAGATTGTCTACTATCTTTATAAGTCTTTCTACTGCATCACAGGACAGCATCCCGGAGGCATTGGCTCTGAACTTGGCCTCTAGGTCCTTCTGGCTCAGTGGCTTCCTCCAGTGACCATAGAAGGTATCAGCGCGCTCCGTGAAGGTGGCTCCATCCTTGAGGGTGACGCTTATCTCACAGTATAGTGTGTTGAAGTTTGGCAGGTTGTCCTGAGGATGCTCCAGCTCCACCTTGCAAAGTAACTCTCTCACCTGCGGCCTGTTGATCTGGTGTTTGTGGAATGATGAAACCGTGATGCCACCATCGAGCAGCATGACACAGGCCACATACTGGAAGGAGTGACGGGCTTCATGCTCCGAGTCTGGGAAAGGCCGGTTTACATACTGGACATCTGGAATTCTGAGCACAATTCTCTCAATGTGGTCAATGGGACACATGGTTCTGTCTGTTACAAGGTGCTTCCTCACGGATGCAGCGGCGTCTGCCACCCAGTGGGTGGCCAGATGTGCAGGGAAACTCTTGAAAGCCACATCCTGCTGGTCCAGGAGCCAAGTGTAAGAATCTAGGTTTGGAAGGACTTTGGGGGAGTAGTTGGTATAGAAGGCCCCGAATCCAGTCTGCGTGTCCAAGACCTGCTTGTTTCCCTGGAGACCCAGCATTGCCAGAAAAACAGCTTCTATCCCGTGCCTGGCAGCATTGCCCATATGAAGAGGCTTGGTCTGAGTGGCGGCATTTGCCATGGGTGCCCCGGCATGAGAAACAGCAATAGCCAAGGCCTTCTGGCAGTTTGTCATGCTGAGCCCTAAAATCTTGGATGCAGCAGCAGCACTACCCAAAGTTCCTACCACCGACGGGGGATGGAATCTGAAAAGCAAAAGGCAGTATTAGAGATTTACAAACCTCAACCACCAGGAGGCAGTATAGTATAAAGATCAGGAACTTAGATCATGGGGCTATACTGCCTGGGTTCAA